CAAAGAAGCAGTTGCACTTCCGAAATGCGCGTCAGCCAGTCACAGCTTTGCTTTCGCAAACCGCGGACGCCTGGCAGGCGGGAATGAAAGCTTGCCGTCGTCCCCCGAACACAACGCACCCTCACTCTGGCTTGTACACATTCAATAGCAGGGTGCTTTATGTTCGGGGGCTAGGTCCCACTTGCACGAATTAAGAGATACTGACCGTAGATAGCAAAGATCAACGGCCGAAATCTCCTAATTTCTGCGAGTGGGACCTTGCCTCTGGGAAGGCGCGCTAGTGGTCCGTTCGCGCATTATTTGGGCATAAACTCAGCTGACTGGAGTGAAGGCCAGGCCTGGACGAATCTGACCGCAATCACGTCCAGAGCGTTGCCCAAAAGAAGTCCAACCGGAATTAGTTTTGCGCTTTTTGCTGTCCTTCTGTGCCCGCTTGATGACGTCGAAAAGTGTGGCTTCGTTTTTTCAACAGAAATGAATACGAGTGACTTCTCTTTTCGCTTGGTGGCGGCTGAAGAACGAAAAGAAAAACGGAAAAGAGAGTCGACTTCAAAAGAGAGTCGTGTAACTTCGTTTCCCAACAGAGTTCTGTAACTTCGTTTCCCGTTTCTTGTCGGTTATTTGGCCGACAAAACGGTAGAAACCATCGGGAAAAGCCGCGTGTCCTGCTAGACCTGGGATGGCAATTCCAACCAAAGTGGTGGACCCCACTGGCAGGCGGCTGGAAACTGGTGTTGGCCACAAAAAAGGGCCGACCTTGGTTGGAAAAAACTGGACGCATTTTGAAGGGACCCCACGGCAGACCTATAGTTTTGGCACTGGAAAAGGCATGACATACCCGAATAGCTGCCTAGACATACCCCAATAGGAAGCGGCCGAAGGGTATTGCCCGACTTGAACAGGAAGCGGCCGAACGGTGTTTCCCGAAAAGGCAAGTCGGGTGGGTGTTGTGGACCATGGCCTGGTACCGCACTGCTTCAGGACAAGTCCGTGTGTGGCCTTTGGAATACTTTGGGACACCATGGGAAAATACAATTGTCTGCCACGACCTCCGGGTACACAGAACTGTCCATGGCGAGGGTGCATGAGTTACGCCGTGAAGCATGCGTCTGGAAACTGATGGACATGCTCCGCCCCCTGCTCAACTGGCCGCCTCCTTGGAAAGGGTCTCGAAACCGGTCGGCGTTGAATATCCAGACCGCGGACCATGTAGAAATGCCCCGTCACCATTTTCGCAACCTCTTTTCAAGCGCAGTGGGGTCTGGAATTCCTTTCCGGGCCGACTTTCCACATCGGTTTCCAGACCCAGTGGGGTCTGGAAAACACCCCGACGCCCAAACTTTTCCAGGCCGCCGGCCAGTGGGGTCCACCCCTAGGCCTGGACCCCACTGGCCGGCGGCTGGAAAAGGTATCAGGTCCTTTGGGGCATCCGTTAAAGTTGGAAGGATACAGAGAAGATTAGCGTGGCCCCTGCGCAAGGATGACACGCATGAATCGAAAAATGCAAAAACGTATCAGGCCACCAAAAGCTGGTCAACGTCAGTGGAAGCTTTTTGGCACGTTTTGGCACGTTTCCAAAAGCCACACTGCCAACTTCTGTGCTTTGGAAACTGCCAGGCTTACCGCAATAGGAAACCCGAGAGGGGCCCTCCCGAAGAGGGAAGTACGAACAGCCTGCATGGACCAGCGGACATGCCAGCCTCTCGGGTTGGCTTGTCCTTGTGGGGCGTCGGATGCTGTCCACCACACCGTGCCCAAATTTGAAGTCCACGATGCCTGTTTACTCTACTGTGACGCCCAACCTCACGCCCAGCGCAATTCCTGATCGGATGAAGTGTGCCAAAAAGGGGTGTGCCAAGGATTTTAGGAAGATGGGCGGGGGGGGGAGAGTCCTAGGTCAGAACTGAGATCTCCTATGTCAAGTTTCAGGGATAAGAATCGCAAGTGGGCGGTTGAAGGACGAGGTTCCTTTTAGGCCCTCGAGTAACAGGGTGATCACCTTCGTTGGTCCCGTCGTCTGGGGCAGATCCGTATTCGGTGTACCGTAGGGACGCTATGGCTGTCCCATTGGTGCATCACCCATCGTCAGCGGGTTTCACAGGTTTCGGAATCGGACGCCGCCGGCCTCAGCAGAAGGCTGTACTCCCGTCGTTTGGCTTCCAAGCGGGTTCGTTGTACAGATCCCGATACTCAGTAGGCGTGGTCTTTCAGACACTCGGAGCACTGGGGTTGCGGCCAGTAGGGGGCGAGTACTTGCCAAGGGGCAATGGTCAGGCAGTGGAAAGGCAATATACGGTGATAGGGAGGGAACTCTGTTTCAATGATAGCTATGCTGGGTTCAGTGATGATTTGACACGTGCACGGGCTGGGACAGCTGGGGTAATGGGGAGTACGTTCCAAGCCCCGTCTAATATCCCACTCGCAGAGACGTTTGGTTCCCGTGTGATACAGAAATACCAGGAACTCAGTTCTCGATCGTGCAGCATGGCATGTGCGTTCCCAGTATTCTTGGAACTAGCGATCCCTTAGGCACTCACGGTCGGTGATCCGGAAGTGAATTTCGACATTCATACTATGGGGTTGCGGTAGGAATCCATACGATCCAAGTGCTCGTTTGTCAACCAGATTGAGGGCAGATCCTGTAGGGGAGCGTGTACGTAGTGGCCTTCAACGCCAAGCGTACACATGCGTGCACATGATCTTCTTTCGATCTGGCTGGGACTCTTCACAGCTTTCGGCAGAGGTGCATATGGCTTGTCGGATCGCCCAGAGGTGTCGCTGGTGGGCTTAACGTGAAGCAGGCATCTAATCAACCGGCATGCTCATCTATATATTCAACATTGTAGAAAAGTCAAGAAACAAACATTCATGCATCAAAACATCCAATTGGCCAGAGAACATAGTACACAGAACGAGGGCGGATAATCAATCCATCAGGTGGACAACAAGTAGAAGAATGATGTGGTGGGAAGAAGACAAGTTTAATCATCCATCAATATGCAAAAGAGAAACAAGGAAAGACCCGAAACAATCATGAACAAAAGATGGTTTGCGTCGGGCACCAAAATTGCGCAAAAACAAGGTCGAGGACAAAACACCACTTCAACACTTCCCGTTTTCTCTCTCTCTCTCTCTCTCTCTCTCTCTCTCTCTCTCTCTCTCTCTCTCTCTCTCTCTCTCTCTCTCTCTCTCTCTCTCTCTCTCTCT